TACAGCAACACATCTCAAATGAATTTATTTTCTTTCTATCCACTTTCTTTGCCATCCAGCTCTCACTCTTACACCCATATATAGTGAAATATGATGGCATGTGCAATGCTAACTTTCGTATTCAATGATACACCTTTGCTTTTTAGGATCTTGTCTGGTTCCTGCACAACTGCTCTTCCAAGTCCTAGTCTTCTTTCATTTATTGACTGAAATATAATATATGTTTGCAATGTGATCCCTGGTGCCTGTTCCTTTCCTGAACTCAACTTGCACCTCTAGGATTTCTCACTTCATATATAGTAGAAGTCTTTGCTGTAGAGTTTTGAGCATGACTTTCCTTGAATGGGAAATTAATGCAATGGTCCTGCAGTCTTTTGCATCTCCTTTTTTGGTGATAGGAACATTTCAAATCTGTGTTTCAAATCTGTGGACCATTGCTTTGTTTTCCCTATTGTTGACAGATTTTAGTTAGAAGTAGAACTGATTCTGTCTCTGTCACTTGAAGCAATTCTATTGATATGTCATCTGTTCCTGGTGATTTATTTCTCCCAATTGCTCTGAGTACAGCTTTCACTTTGCTTCTCAAAATCGGAGGTTCATCTTCGTGTCGGTATTATTCCCATGTGTCATGCATCCTTCCATCTCTACTGTATGTTGCTTCCACTGTATTTTTATTTTATTTTGACTGTGTATTGTGTGTATAGAGCATTCCTACTTTTGGCTTAAATTTCCCTTTGATTTCTTGGAACTTTTGGAAAAGGTCTCTTCTTTTTTGTTGTCAGCTTCTATTTCTCTGCATTTGTTATTATAATAGTTATCCTTGCACATTAGTAATTGAACGGTTGCATTCAGTAGTGTGAATAAGCCCTATCATTCTGTATTTTTGAACTGGGGATGAACTAGCCAAAGCCCTAAGAGCTTCACAGGAATGATCCCATATCATCTTAAACATCTTTCTTTCCCATCCTAGATGACATCCTGTAGGTCAGAAAAATGCTAGACATTTGAGGGTTGCATGTATGCAAATGTGCACAAACAGAATTCTTACTAATTAGAACATTTTGTCATCAGGTATACAAAGTGCAACTCAGTTCTGTGCATGTGAACTCAGAGGTAAGCCATCAGCTTTAAAACATATGTATCCAGTTTCCACATCTTCTCTTTTTATGGTTGCTTTAAATAACTTGATCTTTAAATACCTTAGAAAGATGTTTAAACGCCTTTAAAAGGCACTACAACCACTGTTTGGAGATAAGAATAGGGTTTTTCAGCATAGTGCTTCAAAGAGCCTTGGCAGGCTGTAAGGAGACTGTGCAGATGCAGTTCCAGATGCATAATCATTTAGGTGACTTAAGTGTGCTATATAATATACAAGTTACTGGATTTATAAGCAATAAAACCATGTATAACTAAACACGTGTATACTGATTCACTCACATATACACATACAGTACAATTACAATCCAGTAGCTCCAGCATATTTATATTTTGTGTGCAGAAGGGCTTCCCCATCTATTTTACGAACTCCTCACATGTAAAATAGAGTATCTCCCTGCACACAAACTATTTCCACTAGAAATGAGAACATGACAGGTTCAGGATCTTAAGACAGATGGCTCCTACCTAAGAGATTGGATTAACATGAATGAGAATCCTGAAGTTAACTCTGAAGTTACCAAAGTGGGGAGGCTGAAATGAGAGTAGCAATAATTTACAGCACATCAAAAAACAAATGTTTTTACAGCCCTTGAAATTTAACATACTAAAATAGGGGTAGACAAAAGGCTCTCCGGTTGACCACTGAGCAGTTGCCAAAAGACCATGGCATCACTGGGGAGGGGGGTGCGGGCCACACTGGGTGCCACTCCAGAAGAGAGTGGTGACACCGGTCCACCTCCTGTCCCCCGCAGGCACTCCTTGGGCCTGGGTGAGTGCCGCTTGAAGCCTCGGGGGCGGGGGTGTCTCTGGCCCAGCCGTGTGGCAGGCAACCATTTCCATAAGCTGGGCGCCTGTTTTGCACAGCCTGCCTGGCCATTTCTCCTGCCCACGTGGCTATTTCCCCAGACTGCACAGCACTTCCCTGGCCTGCATGGCCATTTCTCCCATTCACGCAGCCGTTCCCAGCCTGCACATCCGCTTCCATATGACACCCCCCCAGAAGTCTCAGCTAGAAGTCCTCCCCCAAGAAGTCCCACCTTTCCTCACTGGGTGACACCCAGAGTGGGATCCCCACTGTCTGATTGCTTACATTTTTGCAAATAATGCACAATTCGATCTTGACTCAATACAACAGTCCTTTTATATTCTTGTGTAGCTGAGAGCATTTAATCCAAAAGTTTTACTACGGCATTGTAAAGAAATCCCAAGGATGCTTTTTTGGTTTACAAATTCAAATACATTGGTGGACCATAGTTGCTTCTAATGAAATCATCATCATCATCATCATCATCATACAAGTCCACAGAAAGTACTTTAAAATTATCACTAACCAAAATGTGACACTTCAGTGTTCAAATGAAAGGAAGCTTTGTGAAGGCTTTGTTTCCATATCTTTTTCAACACTCACTTAACTATAGTTTTAAAGGCTTCCAGATAAGGATAATTTGATTTTAATGAATTGTCAGGAATTATACAATTCAATAAAAGGCCCTACCTTTTCCTCAAATCAGGTACTCTGCTTTTTCTAATCAGTTATCTGTTTCTCCTGTCATTTGTGTCAAGTGTTTTGATCCAAAACATCCACCATTTTGAATGCTTTCTCCATGACCTCCACTTTGTCAGGAGGGATCTAATTAGGGGAATTTATTTAATCAAATATGCTAGAGTGGGATCCTAACAAACCCATGGGACCAGGTACTGTTATGTATACCAGAGGACTAAGGGATCCCACAATGGATGACACTGAGACAGGCTTCTCCAATTAAAGTCTAAATATTTATTACAAGGGGAAAACTGCACACAAATATAGTACACACACACACATTGCACTCTTAGGAATAAAGGAGTGAAAACGGGAATAGCTTGAGATGGGCCAGACTGAGGAAGTTGCTCACTTCTGAAGGCTTCTCTGGGATCTGCTGTGAATGTTGTTGTTGATGATGATGATGATGATGATGCACAGCCACTGAAATGAGGGGGAAAGGATGGCCGAGGGAGCTTTGATCAGGGTACAGACCGACATGGTGTCAGCATGCACTCCAAAAATAGCACGTGGAGCCTAAAAATCTCAGGGTTTAAACAGGAAATGTCTACCTTCTGGCTATTGACTAAATAGCTTGGCTGAAGCCGGGACAAAGGCGTTGATAGTCTTAGCATTGTTAAACCTATGTGTAAGAATAGTCTAAACAATGCATTTGGTTTCGAGGCTTTCAAGGAAGGGAGGCTAAAGAAAAGGGTGAAATCAAATCTGATCACTGCCTCATTAAGTGCGAGACTCAAGACAAATAAG